GCCACTTGTACAAATGAACATTTTCTACAACGTAACTAATGCATTATCTCCTGATAAATTCTACACATTAAGAAAAAAGAGGACAAAAATAAAGTAGAAAGATAAAAACAATTTGTAATGTTTTAAATATTAGGAAACATCAAGAATATTAAATATGAACAGCACTGTTTACAGCTTTGAAGTACAATTGCTCTAACTTATGGGTGGATCTTAATAGTGTTTGATATAAAGATATTTAGGGAAAAGAAAAAAATATGAGAAAATGAAAAAATGGAAATAAAGTCTTTGTAAATGGGGAGGGGAAGAGGGGGTGAAGGGAGGTCAGGGACAAGGGGAAAAACTGAGACCCAAGACCTGTCATGTGAAGGTACAGGATCCCAGTAATGAATGTAACTGTATTGTATACCTAGATTGTACCAATAAACTCAATAAAAAGAAAAAAAAATAAAGATATTTGTGACACTAAAATTTACAACACAGGGAAGCCAAATGTAGCAAATCTTTGATAGATTAAGAAAGTATATTTCAATATACTCCACAATATCAAGCAGCAAATTATAGAATACAGAATCTGTAGAAGGAGCAAAGTGAACATGCAAAACTGATCTCAGAAGTAGTTTGTTCAAACTCATTCCTTATAGTTTCTTATAAGTCAATTTTGATTCCTGATTAAATCATTATTTCTTCTGTAGCTATGTTATAATACAGCAATGATAACAACTACAAATATTGAGTGCTTAGTACTCAGACATCACTTGCATGCATTATCTTACATAATTCTCTACCAACCAATATAAGAGGAATACTATTATTTTGCCTTTATGGATGAGAAAAGTGAGACACAAAAAGTTAATTACTCAAGATCAACAGTTTGTAAGTGGTACAGGGTATAAATTCAGGCAGTGTAGCTCCAGAGCCTGCATCCTTAACCACTGTACAATATTAACTAAAATACATGACTAATGCAATGTAAACTTAAAAATAAAGAGATTTATCATTTGCCCAATGAAAACATTACAAAATATCTTATCAACTTGAATATATCCATATATAGATAATATAGATGCAAGTAGCAAATGTCAAACAGCAATTTTAATTTACATAAACAAATATATATAAAATTACACATCACATAAAGTAGCATATTCATCATAATTATTGCCTGTTCCACATTCACATTTTTATGACACAATAACAATACAGCTCAGTGGCTCACCCCAGGGACTTAGGGACCAGACTGTGTGAGTTCAAGTCTCTGGTCTACTATTTCCTAGCCTAATGATGTCTGACAAATTACCTACACCATGCAGTTTCCTCATGCATTCAACAGGAGTTATACAGAACCTACTTCACTGGGCGATAGGAGTAACTGAGTTAAATGCTGCAAAGTACTTGGAGCAGTGCCTCGCCCAGTAACTGCATACAGACAATAGTCATTACACTGTTCCAATGCTTCACTTTCACCCGAGGAACCAGTGGCTCAGGTGAAATTCCCCAATTCTGTTTTTTACATTATTTTTCCCTCTCTATAAGTTACTGGAAATACAGAACTTCTATTGTTGTCACTGGAATTCTTACACTAAACCATATATTCATTAATCTAACATTTGAAATGTGTTTAAGTACTTATGATCTCTACAATGAAACTACTTACAGATCTGCTTTAGAAATTATCTTTAAAAGGCTTATTTGTTTATTTACTTGTCGTACTGGGACTGGAAACCAGGGCCTCCACCCTGAGTTTTTTGTTTTTTATTTGTTTTAAAGCAGCACTTGCAATATTAAAGTCACAGTCTAAAGAACAATTATTAATTCAGAGCTAAATTTCTTTGTCTCTTGAAAACTAGTTCTATCCAAATGCATCCAATATATATACATATTTTTTTTTGTTTGTTTGTTTGTTTGTTTGAGACAGGGTTTCACTATGTAGTTGAAACTGAACTCAAACTATGTAGCCCAGGTTAGTCTCAAACTAACAGCACTCCTCCTGCCTCAGCCTCCCGAGTGCTGGGATTACAGGCGTGCGCCACCATGCCCAGCCACCCAATATTATTTCAGGCAAATCTGTCTTCTTCAAACAATTTATTCTCACAATTAAAATATCATAAGCAAAATTTGAATGATATCTATAACACAGTTGATTCAATGAAACTTTTTTTAAGAGATACAGGACAATTTGGGGGAATATAGCTATCATATTTGGGATCTGGGGTCACATAATTAATATGCAGGAGTGGTGAAAAAGGACATGGAGCAATTATATTGGTTTTTACCCTTCTCAGGTTTCACTCCTATGCAATCTGACATAATATGGGCACAGATGACAAACCTTCACCTCAAATGGTGCTTGTAGAGATCACTGACAGTGGGGGAAAAGGCTCACCTTCAAAATATAATTTTCTGGCACAATTCTTCAGGATATAGTACCTATAAAACAGGAGAAAGAAGACGTTTCTAAAATATGTACACGATTCCACTGCCATTCTAAGACAGTGCAGTTACTTTATGTGTGTATGTAATGTCTACAAAAAATGTCAGTGTGACTATCAAGATAGTTAAAATATATTATTCATAATTAGAATGTCCTTTTCTTCTCAGTTACAAGTTTAGTGATTTAAACATTAGGTCTCAGGGCAGCAGAGGCCAGTTTTTATAGGCTCAATTCATATTCCAATTAATCTGTTGACCTGTTGAGGCTTTTTTCCTAAAAAAAAAAAAAAAAAAAGTCAACTCAGTGACTTTAACAGAGGTCAGCATATGAACCAAGCTCTCTAATTTCCTTTAATATAACATTCTGGAGCCTATCCCAGACAAGGGAAGCAATATCAAAAACATTTCCCAAAAAGAAAGACCTACATGATAAGCCATGAAATTAACTGATGCTCTCAAAATCTCCCAGGGATTTCTACAGAATATCTTGGTTTATGTTTCAAACAATATGGAAGATTAAATCAGGTAAATCAGTTTTCTTGCTTGGTTTCTCAATTGGGGCAGGAATTGGAAAAGATTTAAGTAAGTATGATAACTACTTTCACAGAAACAAAATTTGAATAACATGCATACCCAACAACGCATTCCTAAGCAGGCAATGTTTAACAGTCATATTCTTGTATTTCATTCAAGTTTGAAAGTTTTATGTCTTTTGGATAGGAATAAAAGCAAAGAACCTGTTTCATGGTCAATGTAGTTTAAGAGTGCAACCATATAAATTATCAAAAAAAAAAAAACAACAAAACAAAACCTGGGATATTCCCGAGAGTGAAAAAGGGACACTATTAATTATGTTGAGAAAAAACAGACATAAAATGGGATGGCAAACCACAATACGTCGTTCTACCTAAAGTTGTGTGCATGATACATCAATAAATGCTATCAGTGGTGCTGCCACATGCCTCACAAGTGCAAGGTCCTGAATTCAATCACAGGTAACAGAAAAAAAAAATGCTAAAGTATATAATTGGATAAGGAATTTCAGAAATTCACTGACAGAGCAGGAAAAGTGTCTCTCAATTATACTGCTGGGTTTTTCGGTTTGGTTGCTAAGCCTTTTTTGCTATTTTTGTTTGGAAGGGAATGCTTTTTGTTTTATTTTTTGGTGGGGGTGTTGAAGGAAGTTTTAACCAATAAAATTTTATTATTCCTGTGGAAACTGGCCACAGAACAACAGTCTGGGTTCTTTTATGAAGAATATATAATTCCCAAAGCAAGACATAATGAAAATGTTTATCACGTAAATTTTAGTGTTATTATTTCAAAGACAGTTATGCTTATAGGTTAAAAGCATGGTGTTTGGAGTTATAGCATTCAGGATTTCTACCACCTTGAGAAAGCGATTTAACATGGCAGTCAAAAGCAACCTCCTTCAAAAGGACACCACCATCTAGTCCTGTCACCTGTCAGCTCATAATCTTAATTTTTTTCCCATTTCTTTTAGAATTAACATTCAAATCGCACAAGATTTCCTATTTTCTGGCTCCTCCTATCATTCCAGCCTCAATTTCTCTGTGGTTCCGTCTACTGTTCCAATCACCCTGGCTTCACTTAGTCAAGGAGTTCCCAAACTGGGCTAAAGGTACTCCCTAAGGGACATCCAGCAACGCCTGAAATCAAATTTTTGGTAGTCACAACTGGGAGGGCGGGGGTGAACTGGAATCTAGTGGCTAGAGATCAAGGATGCCATGGTTTCCTACAAAAAAAAAAAAAATTATCTGGATGTTAGTAATACAGAGGTTCAGAAACCCTACTTAGACTTTTTACATTTCCCCTTATTTTCTCGCTTCTTAAATCAACTCCCTCACTTTCCTCTCAGAGTGTCTTTTCAGACTCTTCTTCCCAGATAAATATCTCTTTAAAAAGAATTATGAGGAGCCGGACGTGGTGGCACAAACTTGTAATCCCAGCACTCTGGAGGCCGAGGGAGGAGGACTGTCCTGAGTTCGAGGCCAACCTTAAATGCATAGCGAGACACTGCCTCAAAAATAAATAGGCATTAAGAAAATTAGTAACAAATCTACATGTATGTTTGATAATCCCTCTCCCACAAGAGGACTAGCTTGAATTCACCATGTACCTCTAGAAGGTAGCACAGAATGAACGAACATTTGTTTCACTCATAAAAAGGAAAGTAAGAGTACTACCTTAATTTGGGAGGTGAAGATTAAATAGCACAAACTCTTTAGTACTGCACCTAAGTCATATTTAGAGACAGCGGGTCTGTAGTTTGTAGACAGCACAGGAGAGGTCTGTCTCTTTAATTTAGGCATTTCCCCGCCTCGCTCCTAGTCTAAGTGAACGAAGGAATTTCCCACCCAACTAGAAATTTGGAATTTCTGCGCCCGCGTCTTCCGGCCTCCACCGCTAACCAGACCGCCGGAAGCACCTTCCCTCTTCCCATTGGCCCATCACAGGGCCAGTCAGTTGACACTGCGCATGTCCTATATCTTTCTCCCACCCCCTTATCTCCTCCCGTCGCCCAACCGGAGAGCGGGAAGAGCCAGCCAACACGTCTGCGCGAGCCGGCGTGACCCGGAAGCAGTTCTTCGGCCCTGTGACACGTAGCGACGGGCTAGAGTACGTTTTGGAGTTGAATTTGGGGTTATTTCGGGTCGCTGGTGCTACGGTCGCTGCCGCCGCTGCTCCCTCCACCTTTGGTGAGTGTCTCAGGCCCGTCGCACTTTTTCTGGCTTTTCCAGATAGCTGTGCAGCGCAGCTTGTTGCCTTTTCGCGTGGCACCGTGGTCCTTTCCCTCACGACTCACTCTCGATCTTCGTCCTGACGCGGTTTCTACTCCTTATACGCGACCTTCCGGGACTCTTCGCTTTCCTGTCGGGCTTGGAGCTTTATTTTGCAAGGCGGCAGTCGTGCCGGCCCTGTAAAGCTCTGTTTGAAGGTGAGGAGTCATCTTTGTTGCTGATATTTTAGGTCGCTTTGGAGCCACTCCCCCCACGGCCTCGCCCCTGCCGATGACATAGAGGTCCAGGTGTCTTCTTGGGCTTCGATTTAGAAGCATTAGATCTGTCCGAATGCTGCTCCGCACAAGTAGAGAGGAAATGTTGGCTGTTGTCTTCTCAGAGTATTTGCTTAATCAGAATGCCAAAAATAATTTAATGGGACCTTGCGCATAAACTGCCTTTTTTCTTCTGTTGCAGATCTTTTGCGATGTCAGGTTTTGATAATGTAAACACGGATTTCTACCAGACAAGTTATAGCATCGATGACCAGTCTCAACAAACCTATGATTATGGAGGAAGTGGAGGACCCTATAGCAAGTAACTTTTTAGCTTTGGCAACTTATGTAGTTTACACTGCAGTGAAAGTATGTGTTTAGAATATTTGATTCTGCTTAAAACTAAATATGAATATGTCGCTTTTTAGGGATATCATTTTTGTCCCAATCTTCTTTTTTCCGGAAAGATCTGTGATACTGATAATAGGTTTGAAGGCTTGGGCCTGTTTAGAATTTGGTGTCTTCTGAAAGTAGCTTGTAGTAACAGTATTTCTATGGCACTTAAGATGAAAATGGGAATTTAAGATAATTATTTAGGCTTTTTATTTAATAGAACAAATTTTAAAAATTTTCAAATTTGACAGCTTGTTTGGTACTTAAATTATTCCAACTTTTAGATTTTATCAACTGTAATTGAAAGTGCATAATGACGGTGTTTAACAGTGATTTTCATTAATTCTTTACAAAAGCATTATAGTCGATATCACGGGTTACTAGTTGCAAATTTAAAAGATTTTAAAACCGTTTTTTAGACTCTGAACTGTTAAAAAAGAGTCATTTTATAGTACTTTGTGTTGTAGCAGAAAAAAATACATTAGCTGAAGGTTTTCTACCAGTCTTTTCGAGGGCATCATACTCTTAGTGTCATAGAACCTTAGAGAAAAACCTTATTTGGCCTCCAGTCAAATGAAGGAGTTTTCCTATACTAAATTATTTACCCTTTTTTAGATACCTGGACCTCCTTGATAATCTTATAAAGACAGTGGACCTATTTTTTAGAAATATATTCATACTCTCACTTAGACACCCACATAAATGTGCATGCAGACTTTTCATAAGTTCATCTCTGGATCCTGAATTTAAAACCCCACAAAGACTTTCTCAGGATCAGAGCAATGCAAGGTTGTATATCTAATCAGACTATGAGAAACATGCAGTACCAGCCTGTGTTTGAATTGATATATCTGAATGAAAGTGCCAATGATTTTTAAAAGACAAAAGTCAAATTCAGCCCCATGCTGTGGTCCACCTTAGATAGGCTCTCCTTTTTATAACCCATGGACTCTTTGAATCTGCTTAATTGGAGAAATTGTATTTATTGAACAATGGGAATGAGTATGTAAAAAATACCTTCTATGTCAGTAATGGTGAACCTTTTAGAGGTTTCATTGATAGCAAACAGCCAGTTGCAGGACACATACCACTATGGCAGGTTTGCCACTGCTGCATATGAATTACTTTCTTCTTTCTTTTAAATTCTTAATTACTGTGCATACCAGTGAGAGCTTATCTCTCTTAATTAGGCAGAATTGGAAAAATTAAAGTGAAAGATTTTCACTCGCTTCTTTATCTACATATGTATTTTTGGTTACTACTCTGCATGGGAGGGCAAAAACATCCTTGGCCAAAATCCATCTCGTAAAATAAATCATTGCTTATAACAGCAAGGGCTTTGGAGATTCTGTCTCTGTATGCTCACCGGATTTTAGCCAAATGACCTTTATCTTTAGATTCAACAGAAGTATTTTATTTAAGATTGCAGGCTTCCAGGTTTATTTGTGGTTTTTTTTCTCTCTTGTCCATGTTTAGATCACTTAAAAGTTACTATTTATCCTCTTATTCATCCAATTTCAGTTGTCCAGTTAGAAGCTGCATAGATATTTTGTCACTGACCATTCTCAAAAGTCCATTACAAACAAATCATGTGCCAATGAATACTACTGAAGAAACTATTTCAGATAATTAACCATTACCGCCAGTTACTAAATATGGATATATAGAGCTTGGAAAAGGAAAGGGTGTAATGTATTAGCAGTAGTAAATGTGGGCTTCTGAGCTTTATAAAAAAATGGATTCTTCTATTTCTATGTGTAACTTCAAGTAGATCTGCAACATAATATTTTAAATGTCCAGCTCCATTTACCAAGTAATAGTGTGCTAACTTGTTTACAACGATCAGGTGATAACCTTTAGCTCTTTGTTGGTGAAAATCTGGGTTCAAATAGCATATTTGGATTGTCTTTAGTTTGACTTACTAGTCCGTAATTATGTATTTGCACTCCGAAGTCAGCTTTCACATTTTATGATTTCCTCTGTAGGTATTTCATGAGTATCATTTATATATTCATATACCAAACAAAAGACTACAAACAGAAGATCCTTTGATTATGATCTGTTGTTGTGTATGTGCCTGTGTGTAAAAGAGTCATATTGGATAGATCCCACATTATAGTCTAAATATGCTTCTAAAATATGTAGTAATATGTCATTTATTTTCTAAAATACTATACCTTTATGAAATATCGGAGGTTTTTCATGAACTTAAGTAGGCAACTTAGCATGTGAAAAGGCTCTGTCTTCATTATTGATAAAATACATATGAGAATACTGATTTAGCGTACACAACTTTTCCTACTGTGGAAGGAAGTTTTGCTTTATTTTGTAAAGTATGTGTATCTACCATACCAAGTATTAGTTTAAAACCGCCAAGCATGATTCAGAAATTTTTCTGAACAAGTATCACTGCAAAAGGCCAATAGTGGAATTTCATGATATTGTCTCTCACTTTGCGTTTGGAAGATGAAATAATGATGCAGAGGGGGCGCATTTATCATACTAATTCGAGGAAAGAGAAAGCCCTACAGTCTGTCTGTTCAAGGTGTGAAGCCCTATGGGTGGATCCTTTGATTACCTCTTTTTTTCTTTTATTAGTACAATGCATGTTTGTAATATGGAATAGTGATATTTGTTTGGAGGAATTGGTATGATTGTTTTCATTTGATTTACTCCTTTGTCCCTACCCTTCCCTCTTCCCTTGGCCTCCTTCCCCATCTTCAGGAGTCTTATCTTCTAATTTCTTGTCATCTCTTCTTTATTTTAGTCATTGCTTTATATTTTAGGTTCTTCACATAAGAAAAGACGTAATCTTTTAACTTTCTTAGTCTGTGTATTTTACTTAGATGATAATCTCTGGTTCTATCAATTTTCCTACAGATGGCATGGTTTCATTCCCAAATAATATTCAACTGTGTCTATGTACCATTTTTTTCTTTATCCAGTCATCTCTTAGCACACATCAAGACTATTTCCAGAGCTTACCTATTGCCACTGTAAACATGAGTATGCATCTGTCTCTATAGTATGATACCTTTAATTCTTTCAGGAATATACCCAAGAGATAACTGGGCCAGTGTTGTTTCTACTTTTAGATTTTTGAGAATCTCAAAACTGACCTCTATACTGGTTGTACTAGTTTACATTTTCACTAACAATACAGTGGAGGAGGGTTCCTTTTTTCCATATCCTCACCAGTATTGATTCCTTTTTGTGTTCTTGTTGATAGCCATTCTGACTAGGGTAAGATGGATCCCCAAAATTATTTTGATTTCCATTTTCTTATGGTTAAAGATGTTGAACATTTTTTCATGTACTTTTTTTTGGGGGGGGCATTGGGTTTTGGGGTTTTTTTTTTCCTTTTGCTTAGCAGCTTTTTAATTTGATGTATTCCCATTTGTTGACTCTTGATATTATTTCCTTTGTTATTGGGGTTCTATACAGGAAGCCTTTGCCTATTCATATGACTTCAAGTGTTACCCTCATGCTATTTCCCAACAGTTTCAAAGTTTCTGTTTCTGTATCTAGGTCTTTGATCTATTTTGTTCTGGTTTCTGTACAGATTGAGAGATAAGAGTCTATTTTCAATCTTTTATGAGAGGATATCCAGTTTTCACAGGACTATTTGTTAAAGACACGATCTTCTCCAGTGCTTGTTTTTTATTTTGTCAAAAATCAGATGGTTGGAGGTGCATGGGATTGTTTTCTGTTCATTTCCATTGGTTTATGTGTATTTTTGTGCTGCTGTATTGTTTTTTATGCTACCTTTGCAACAATTACTTGAGTTTCTTTTCCTTACTTGCAATTTATAGGTCTAATTCAGTAGTTCTCAGTGTACACTACAGACACTAGGATCCTTGAGACTTTTCAGGGATCAGATCAGCAGTTATTTTTATAATAATACTAACATATTCTTTACTCTTTTAGGTTTGTTAACATTTGCATTGATTTTGCAAAAACCAATGTTTGGTAAAACTGCTAGTGTACCTGAGTGTGAATCAGGGGAGTAGCATCAAATTGTTCTCATAGTCACACTTGATGGAGGATAAATGAGTATGCTTCATTTAAGGATTCCCTCAATGGAGCATTAAGAATTGTCATTTTGTTAAATCTTGACCCTTAAGTAAATGTACTTCTTTAATATTCTGTGTGACAAAATTGGAGAGTCAGAGAGCATTTCTGTTCCTTGGTGAAGTTATGATATTTCTAGGAAAAAGTACATATGCAAGTTGAGTTGCAAGCTGAACCAGCTGTTTTTCAGATCATTTTTTTCATTTGAAATAACAACTGATAAATATTTAGCAGATATTTTCTCAAAAACGAAAAAGAGAATATCACTTCAAGGAAAACAACAAACAGTATGTGTCTTGTGGTCAGTTTTTTTAGACAAAAATAACAATTTTGGAGAAGTTGAAATCAGTAGTCTGAAATTGTCAGCTTCTTGGTAATAAACCATTTTTATGATAGTATCAGTGGTGATATTAACAAGTGTGATCTTTTTAATATAGAATTAAGTCAGTGTTTGGGAGATACATATAACTACAATAATATTTTCTGTATGGCCAATTCATGATGTTATATAATTATATGTGTAAAAGATCCACTCAAAATGCAAGTTGGACTGTAACAGGGCATAAAAAGTTCATTGATGCTGCTTTAGATGCCATGTTGCTGTTTGAATTTAAGAAAACTACCACTTGTTTTGAGTTTTAACATAGTGTAAACAACACATGATGATCTTAAATTTTACTATAATACTGTTTTCCAACTACATGTCTGCGACATTGGATGTTCTTAAAGTACTTCACTAAAACAGTGTATCACAACAGGTTGAACGCAGAAGCAGATATAAAAATATCTTTCATTAAGCCAGACTTTAATGAGATTTTTAAAAAATATAATACAGTGCAGTTTTTCTTAGTAATTTTTTGATAGGTAGTTTTCATCATAAAAATGTTTATGCTAAAATGTATTTTTTCAAATGAATTAAATACTTAAAATATGAAACATCTCATTTCTTTCATGGAAAATATTGATGAATAGTAGCCTCCATAAACAAAAGCAGACTTAAATATATCTTAAAAATAGAAAGGGGTCTTAAGAGCAAAGAGTTTGAGAAATGCTATTCAATACTGTTTATTTTGGTTTTGTGTTGGTGCACATTTCTTTCTCTTATCTCTCTGAAAATCAAATACAGTCTATTTGAACAGATTGCAGAAACTGCCACACAAAGTTTATCTTGTGGTTTCATAAACTGATAAATCCCAACAAATCAACACAAGAGCACATCATATTAATTTAACTAGCTAGCCCTGTTGGAGGACAGTGTACATGTGTAGATGAGTGTATGCGTACAACAAACAATGAAAAACTATGTGTAGAGAGCAGAACATTAGAACTGTCTTTATAAGATAGGATTTTGAAGTGATTTTTATTACAACTCTTAAGAGTAGCCTCATTTTGAATATTGGCACCACCATGGACAAGAGTTCAGTTTTTACATCTTTATAATGAGAAAGGCAATAGTATCTACTTCAGAGACTTATAGTGAGAATTATGAGAGATAATTCACATTATTAATTGAATGCTTTACAAATAGTAACATTCAAAAATATTATTTTGTAGGTTATTGCATGTAAATTGTTTTAGAATTAACCAAATTCAGTGAATAATGAATATCGCATATTTTCAAGGGTACAAAAGTTTATAATGTGAAATTTTAAATTTGTATATTTTCTTCATCATTCCAAGTTCCTTTACTGTGCAATTAGATGTTTCTTTGTACTCCCAGAGCTCTCCTTGACATATACAAGCATTTGTGTATGTGTGTATTTATTTTTTAAAAAACACAATCAATGGTTATGTATAATGTACACTATTTTAATCATTGCTTTTTTTTCCTCACCGAGTATTTTTTGATTATCGTTTTCATTAGGCCATATAAAACTGCCTTGTTCTTTTTAGCAGGTACATAACAATCGATTATATGCTCATATCACAATATATTTACTGATAGCTGTTCAGTCTTTTACTACTAAAATAATGCAGCAGTGAATTCTATATTGTATAGTTAGAAAAATGAATATCTCTTAAAACATGGATTGAACTAGTTTGATAATTCCTGAGAATCATATTGGAGTTTCCAGAAAGATTATGTATGCCTGAACATATACATCTTTTTCATTTTCTTTTACTCAAGATGTGTAATTAATTTAAAAATTAATTTTAGTTTTAGAATTTCAGTATTAATGAATGTCATTATATTTTTGCATTTTCCAAAAGGGAACCACAAATTTTTTAAAGATAGACTAAAGAATTTCTAGGGCTCTGATACTTTTAAAAATATTTCACTTTTAATAAATGTTTTACTTCTGTATTTCTTACTATATAATTAGATTAGTCTTATTAATTAATGTCTTCTTTTCCCAGAAGATAGTGAAACAAGTATTTAAAGATGTGCCTTCAGTATCCTTGTGTTCCCTCTTATTAAAATAGCTGTGGTAGGAAGATAGATCTTTCTCAAATGAAAAGGGAATCGAGATGGAGAAAGTGGGAAGGGAAGGAGAGGGAAAGGGGATGAAAAAAAGAATTAAGCTGTGCTATATACGTGTACCAATGACATACAAGGAATGTAAACATTACTGCTAAGATGTACTAATAACAATTTTTAAAAATAGATATAAAAAAGAAAATAGCCATGGTAAGGACTCTTCCTCTAAATACAGGATTTGCTAGTAGTACAAATGAGACAATAGATGCGCAACCACTTTGAAAATTTTAAAGCACTATTCAAATATAAGGCATACTGATAATATATTCTCAAAACTTTCACAAAGAAGTTTAATTTTCCCATACTGTGATTTAAAATAGATGATTTTTTGTTTGTTTGTTTTGGTGGTACCGGGGATCGAACTCAGGTCTTTGTGCTTATGAGGCAGGCGGCAGAACCACTGAGCTAAATCCCCAGCTAAAATAGATGATTCTTTAAACACCAGGTGATCTTCTCACTTGTAAGAAATGACATACCAAAAAGTCAAGAATGATAATTTAATGAATATCCAAATTACCATGGAAAATTACATAACTGTTATCCTAAGTTTTCCTTTCATTGTCTTAGGCTATAAGCTTATTTCATAGCATATCATTGTATAGCCTCACTAAGGAAGAAAAACAAACAAGATGTTTAAGAATTTATTTGTTGGGTTCAAGCACTTAAAAGTGTAATAGTTCATAAACTGCTTAAATTCTGCACAAGGGAATACTGGCATCAGAAGATTCTCTAAATTTTTCACTGTACTCAGTTTGATCATAGTAATTTCAGTCACCATTTTTAAACAGCCTAATGTGGTATCCTAATTTTCTGTAGCTATAGGAATTTAAGGGATACCAATTGTCAGGGTGTTGGAATACTTCTGAGAAATTTAACTTCCTTTTTTTTTTTTTTAATAGACAGTATGCTGGCTATGACTACTCACAGCATGGCCGATTTGTCCCTCCAGACATGATGCAGCCACAGCAACCATACACTGGTCAGATTTTCCAGCCAGCTCAGGCATATACTCCAGCTACACCTCAACCATTCTATGGAAACAGCTTTGAGGATGAACCACCTTTATTAGAAGGTAGGATTGGTTGTAAAATTTGATAAGGTTGAATAAACCCTATCTGAAATTCTTAAGACCAGAAGTGTTTCAGATTTTGAATTCTTTATAATATTGAACTATTTTTGTAGACTTCGCTGTGTCAACATCCCTAATCAAAACTCCATGAAGCCTACAATCTGAAACTGTTGGAATATCATGTTGGTGTTCACAAAGTTTTGGATTTTCCAAATAGAGATGTTCAACCCGTACTTCATAGTATCTAGCCAGTCTGTGAAAGTATATTTTTGTTTGAAGAAGTTGTACTTCCCTTTAAAAGACAGTCTTACAGAACAGTTTTTTACTTACTTTGAAGACTGTACATAACACTATGTTGGGCTAGAGTGGACCAGATTTTTAATAGATTGATAATAAAATATGTCAAAATGTGAACACTAACTTCAGATTGTTAAATCCCATCATTGGAGGAAGTGAAAATAAATAGCATGATACTATCCTACACAGAAATAAACTAACAGAATTATTGACATTATTTAAAAATATGTTTTCAAATTATGTTTCAAAACTATAAAGCAGTTTTTCCATTGAAATATGAATACTCTTCAGAAACATATACACATGTGCATGGAAACATAATTTTGTATACAATTTCATGGGTCCCTCAAGCATTCCTGTAGTCTCAGGTAAAGAATTCTTACTATTAACCTTGACTGTATTTTTTGCTGTGCAATAATACTGAGAGACTGTTTCATCTTATCAGTACCTTTTCCAACACTAAACCAGAAATTACATACTTGTAGGAGAAGCAAAACTTAGTAAAATAATATGATTTACTATCGCTAGATCTTTTGATTCTAGGGGTTTCATTGTGTCTCCTGTTCCAACATAGAATATGGTAAATTAAAGGTATGCCACAAATCTAAACTGACTTTTTAATTTTTCTTTAGAGTTAGGTATCAATTTTGACCACATCTGGCAAAAAACACTAACAGTGCTACATCCATTAAAAGTAGCAGATGGCAGCATCATGAATGAAACTGATCTGGCAGGACCAATGGTTTTTTGCCTTGCTTTTGGAGCCACATTGTTACTGGTAAGATTTTAATTTCATTTGTCGGTGTGTGATTAAAGAACGATTTCAAGAAAAGCCATTTTTGGGGCCAGGGATTTAGCTCAGTGGTTCGGTGGCCTGCCTTGCAAGCGCAAGGACCTGAGTTCAATCCCCGGTACCAAAAAGAAAAAGAAAAGCCATTTTTGAAACTGCTTATACTTTAAGTTTTAATGTGTTTTGAATGGCATTGAATTGGTTGAATTTATACCTGTTCATTGCTTCTTCACCAGTAGTGTAATAAGTACTATATGGCATATTTTAAAAAAAATAATTTATTCTAAGTAGTCCAGTTATTGGGGAAAGCAAAAGAATTTAAAAAACCAAGTAAATAACATATGTGGCCTCAGTACCTCATTAGAATTCCTTTTATCCTTCTGACTTTTCAGAGGTTTAAGGTATTTGTCCTCCACTGTTTTTTTTTTTTTTTTTTTTTTTTTTTTTTTTTCCCCCTGTACCAGGGATCGAACTTGGCTCCTTGTGCTTGCGAGGCAGGCCAATGAACCACTGAGCTAAATCCCCGGCCTTACTGCTCTTTTTTTTTTAAATAAAAATACCATTTTTATTTTTTCATGGTTAGTGTTTTGTTGTTTTGCTAGTTATTTTTCTATACAATTTAACTTATAATGCATTAAAACATTAAAATGAAAAACTGGTTTCTCTCCCTGTCTTCCACCTCCCCAAGAATGTTAAAGTAATTTTGAAAATGACAGGAATTTATAAAGATAATTATTATATTTGTTTGATTTTCTCTTATATTTGAATTACACAGGATAAATAATGTAAGGGTAGAATATAGAATTTTTAGAAGCCTAGGCTTGAACTCAGTGCTTCTTCTTTGTCCTTGACTAAATTATTTAATTCTTCAGCTCCCTTTGATGATAATCATTGCTGCCCACTAACAACAGGATTGTTTTGAAAATAAGACAAACTGTGAAAATACTTTGGAAAGTTAAAAACCCTATGTGAACATGAGATTTTATTATTGCTGTGTGAATGAATTCATCAATGAACTAACTCAGTTTTATCAACCTTCCACACATTTTTAATCAAATATTTATGATTAAATTTTGAGTTAATAGGGCCAGGGATTTAGCTCAGTGGTACTGCGCCTCCTCACAAATGCAACATCCTGAGTTTCATCCCTGGTACCAAAAAAAAAACTTTTTTTTATTTTAGTCAACAAAATTCTCAAATGATTTTTTGTCCATTCATCAAAATCTGTAGAAGAATTCTCAAGATTGAGTCTTACATGACAATATTTGAAAAACCCGGGACATTTTGAACATTTCTCAATAGACTAATTTTAGTGATAGTATTATCTGAATATAGTACTTTTTCATTCAACTTGACTAGTAAGGTAGTTGCAATTTAGCTAATTTTTGCTGTCCTAAAACTTTCCAGTGATTTTACTTAGAAGAGCAGAACTGTTAAGTTGATGTGTTTGTTTTGTTTCTCATCCAAGGATTGTAAAAACCAACAATTTGGAAAAGTAATGAAAGAAAAAATATCTTCAGTTGTATTCCTCTTGCTTTTTCTCTTTCCTTCCTCACTGACCCTTGGGTTCCTTCTTATCCTCACATTTTTTTCTTTTAGCTTTTCTAACACCATATAAAATGAATGATAAAATCATTTCTGCTGTTAGATTATGGCTGTTGGTGGCCGTGAGAATAAGTTGCCTTGGTTCATTTTGAGGGAAAAGGTACTTTGAAGTGCTATTAGCAATTATCCAACCATTTTAAATAGCTTTCCACCTTTATAGTTTATTTGCTTAGAGTCAAAGTCCCTTTTAGAAATAAGCTGTTTTAGTTGACTATAGTATTATTTTGTTCCTTTATTTGTTCAGTTCTATGCCAGGCTCAAATGCTATCTAGAAAACCAATTATCTGTGCATTAGGAGGTGATGCTTTAACCTTAAGAAGGATATGAAACATGGTCTGCTCTTTTACTTTCCCTGTCTGAAGATTTTGATGCTCATGTATCGAATAATTTTTATATGTGCCACTGAGAATGAAATAAAGTCAAGAATAACTTAGTTTTTGTCCTTCAACCTGTTATCTTTTCTTTACTCATAGGCTGGCAAAATCCAGTTTGGCTATGTGTATGGAATCAGTGCAATTGGATGTCTAGGAATGTTTTGTTTATTAAACTTAATGAGTATGACAGGTGTTTCATTTGGTTGTGTGGCAAGTGTCCTTGGATATTGTCTTCTTCCCATGATCCTACTTTCCAGCTTTGCAGTGATATTTTCTTTACAGTAAGTACTGATTTTGATTTTGGACTTGGACCAGAATTCACCTCATCTTCTATTTAAGATAATAAGATTCAATAAACATGTCACAGTACTTCTTGTAGGTAAAGACTTGCTACATGCTTTTGGAAGATTAACAATGAAAATGGGAATAAGTTTTGAAATCTTTTATCCCATCTGTATTTTATGTGTGGTGAAGAATTTTACTACTTTCATGTTTATTGACCAGTGTCACAGCAGTAACAAATTGAATAGTTGTGATCTTTAAATAACACATGAAAAATCTCAAGTCATTAGTGATGAAGTTATGCTTACCCTGCTTTATTTTCTTTAGATCATGTCAGATTTCTTGACACCTTTGGGAATATGCAGAATATATAAATAGTAAATCTGTATTCTGTTTGGCAAGTTTGTAAGGTGTAAATTTATGCCTGTGCAGTTCTTCATGGTCTCAACATTTCAAGCATATTTTTGTGGCTAATGTTAGACCAATGATTACCTTCATTATACTAAGAATGTTACACTTAGAAAGCTAAAATAAAGATTTAGGAGAAAAGCATGTATCATCTATTTGTCTCATAGTCGTTACTTGGCAGGGTCGGTGACATTACAGTATTCTTTTGAATAAAATTGCTTTGGGTTTTCATAGAGGAAATGGCTTCATCCTTATTTGTTAAGAATTGACATTAATTGAATTTTAGCGAAGAATTTATTTATTTATTTTTCTATAACACTTGCTCACCCAGGAAAAATTTTGTTTCCCAAGGGATATTTTGTATGTCTGGTGATAATTTTGGTGTCACAGCTGGAGTTTGTTGGGATGCTGGTATCTTGTTAGAGACCAGGAATGCTGCTGAACATCCTAACAATGCACAGAGTAGCTCTTTCTACAAATATATATCCAGCCCAAATGAACAGTGTCAAGGTTGGGAAGCCTTATATTTTAAAAGAGCAAAAATATACTTATAAATGAGACTTTTATCACATGAAATGACAGCATCATTGAATTCACTGTGGGGTTCATTTTAGTCTTTGGAAAAAAAATTTCCACATATGTCTACATGTGGATTTAAAATACTTTTTCTTTAGAACAAGTTATTATAGTATATTTATGTAACTAATATTCCCCCCCACACTTTTTTTTTTTTTTTTGCTTACAGAGGAATGTTAGGAATCATTCTCACTGCTGGGATTATTGGATGGTGTAGTTTTTCTGCTTCCAAGATTTTTATTTCTGCATTAGCCATGGAAGGGCAGCAACTTTTAGTAGCATATCCTTGTGCTTTGTTATATGGAGTCTTTGCCCTCATTTCTGTCTTTTGAACGGAGTTTATCTGGAATGTGGACATCAGTGGGCCAAATACACCAAGAGAACCTTGAACTCTTAAATTGGACCATCGAACTGCTGCGGTGCAACTCTGAAGCAAATTTATGGTGGACATTGGAGCAATGGAAGTAAACACAAATGTTTTGTTCATTTTTATGGAACTTTTGAACACTATATTGAATTTATCTGCAGTGTGACTAGCTTTAAGTGTCTGTGCTGTTTCCTTTTCCTGCAGCCTTTGAAAAACAACTATTTTTTTCTTACAAATTATATTATGATGTTTTTGATAGATTTTTATTAACTGTGGGAAAACAACCACAAAGCTCATAATCCTTCTTAAAAACAACCGAATTATAGTAAAGAGACACAACACTTATTGCAGAAATGTTTTTCCTAGGAATTAGGAAAGAAAATTGTCTATGTTCTCAAGTTAGGAACACTCAAGCAAAAAATAAAAAATCCCAATGCAGAGTTCTGAGTTTGCAGTTCAAAAATTTGACATTCCTGTAAATTCAGTTTTGAAAAGTTTATAGTCTACCTTATTGTAGATAAAAAATGTGAACTGCTGTTCAAATATTAATGTTCATTAAACCTGGACATTTAATGATTGATTAGGTCTCCACCTTTCCCAAGAAAAAGATAATCGCTAACCTTTTTTTTTTCCTGCTAACCTTTTTTAAAAAAATAAATAAAATTTCACAATTTCAGCATTTCAGTTATCAATGTAAAGTACATTTGATGCATATTAATTAAAATTTTCCCCAATTTTAACTGTGTTGTTGAGTTTACTTTTACTAAATCACTGTTCTCTGTGTCTTGATTTCTTCAGTAGGGACTTATTTTGACTCCCAATTTCATCTAATATTTAAACATAGAAGTTATAAGGAATTTTTTAAAAGGTTAAATGAAAAGCAATTTATTTTGAGTTACAACATTATTTTCTTAATTTTATGTGATTTATGCTGTTATGCTGTCTTGTCAGAAAATTTGTAGGAAAACACTGTATCCTATATGAGGTCACAGTCTTCCTAGAGGAACTAACTACCTCTGGTTCTGGACAAAACTCAGCTATGAGAAAGGCATGGTATGGGAAGGAAAAATGGTTTGGTTTGGTTTGGTTTGGTTTTGCAAAGAAAGAGCCTTTCAGACTAAGTAAAAAGAACTGCCAGACTGATGTATTAAAGATGAAAGATTTATACAATCCAAAGAGAAAACTAGAGTATGTTTTCTTTTTAGAGAAAGTTTTCAAGCATTAAAGGAGATTGAGATGAAGCATATTTCTTATAAAGATCTTGGTTTCTGATTTACATAAATTTTCATTAATTTTTAATCTGGAGAAGCAATAAAAAGGTTTTGGCTAGGTTTTCAAACTTAAATTGTTTTACAATATTTTTATTGTAATCTTTGGATACTATCTTTGTCTTTTCCAACTTGTTTTATAAATACAATTCTCATTAAGGCAAGGGTTTGAATGCCTTCCATTAATATTCATTTCTTATGAACAGTTCCAAAATAAGATAAAAAACTAATATTTAAGTGTTGCTGTCAAGACAGCCATTCAATGGAGTTGGATCTGATGCAAGAGTTGAGTTTAAGAGTTTGCTTAAAGAGTCATATATAATCAGTGTTTCTCTTAATAAAACTCTCCTTAGGTAAAAAATACAATATATGTAGCCATATTTACGCATATATTGAAGACTGATATATTGTGTCTCAAAAAGTAATATGTGGCAGTTTTTTTGTTAGCTTTGGAATAAATGTCTTTCTTCAGTTATATACTAGGTAGAATATCTGGCTTGCTTTAGGACCCATTTTATGCCAAACACAACCTTTTCATACTAGAAACATTGAGCATAGCTTAAAGTTCACTAAGAAATTGAAACTCACTGGGGTGACAAATTGGAGGTACCATACCTCACCCATGTCTTGTGCTCAGTGAGTGCAATTGCATATGCACAGGTACTTGTGTCTCTATGTGTGCGTGCCAAGGATGTGCAGTTAATTTCACATACAGTATAAATGCATGTCTTATGACTTTGCTATAATATTGTGTTTACCTAGTATTTTAAAGAATTATTTAACTAGATTTTTGGGAAAAGCATTATTTCTTCAGATGTAGATAATGGAGATGACACTGGCACCCAATCAAAGAGAATTTAAGTAGTGTTGTATTTTGGCATTTTGAAAGTATGTATTTTTAATCTTGATAGACACTGTTACACTGTTAATCGAAATTGCTCCAAAGCTAATTTCACTTGTCTCATACTTTAAAATTATTTAGTTATGTTTGCAGTGTTTATTATCTACAAAAAAAGGTTATAGGCCCCATAACATTAAAGGAAGAATTTAGAACTTTGATTGATCAAAAGGGACGTGTACAGTTAGAATCTTACCCCATAGAATACTTTGACTTGGTCATCAAAAATTAGGGGACATGTTCTTTTATCACATAGAGCAGAACTGATGTACAACTCAGACAAGTTGCTTACTTTGCACTATGGGAAGAAAAGTATACACATACATACACACAAACATATACTCCTGTTAGCTTTTTATAAAGTATTGCTCAAAATTTTCAAAACTATATAGTGGCTGTATGGTACAGATCTTAGTATCAGTTATTCTGGACCTTAAATGCTACTTAGTACATCAAAATTAGTACTATCAAAATTCCCCAAGTTAAATCTGTTCTCACTGTCCACTGACTCATTTTGTTATTAAATGATCCCAGTCTTTGTAAATTCTACTTTATTTTGAAATAAGAGCTTAAAATATTTCTCAAGCAGTTTATCAGTGTCTCAAATGTTTGCTTCAAAATATGAACTTCAGGAATTAAATATTTATTTTAGAATCAAGCAAAAACAAGTACTTTTTTAAAGATCCTTGTAGGATATAAGTTAACAAGTGAGTCTTTGTGGAGTATGTTTAGGATTTGGGAGAAGTAGCAATAGCAAGATCCAGGTTTTGGAGAATGCCTTAAGGAAGAATCAATTGATGGTGCTATAATGAAAGGTAAGAAGGATCTGTGGTTAACTTGTCCAACACGCAGAGTTTTCAAACAGCCTGAAGTAAGGCGTATCCCCATGCCTCTGTCGTGTGGACTTATTTATACCATGGATGAAGAAAGAATTTTTAAAAATTAACTCTACTTCACTACCATACAAATCACTGAAATTTCAGTTGTAGCATATTTTACCCAGTTTTATAACTGAGTGATAGGTAAAATGAAATTACATATTTCAATTGTTGATTTCTATGAATTGGCATAATAGTCAAAAGTATGTGTGTACATATTATTATTGTTATTAGCAAATACTCAAGAGTGATGGCCCTGTTAACTGAAGGATGAAGTCTGATAGTATGCAGTTCTGATTTTGCATCATAGGTGAAAATATTTCTCTTGCCCCTGTGCACAAAGTTCCTACCTTTGCTAATGAAGAACATTATCTGCTGATGGAGCACAATGTCCTGTGTTTGTGCAAATAAATTAAAATGATTACATACTCAAATGACTAATTAAATGCAGATCTGTTCTAATTTAAAAACAAAATACTTTATTGAGCACATTAGGTTCTAACTATTGAATATTACATTTTTCTGAATTTAATTAGGCTTACCTTGCATATATAAATTTATTTTTGAAACTAGCTCTAAATCTGCTGATGGATCACAGAATGAATGTACATTAACATGTTTTCAAAAGCTTTTAAGTAAAATGAAGGATTGTTAGGGATTTAGTTCAGTGCCACCACTTGCCTTGCAAGCTCAAGGTCCTGAATTCAATCCCAATACCAAAAAAAAAAGTAGATAGTGGAGCCATTTAAAATATTTTTATACCTTTTTACATAGTTGAGTTACTCTGATTCTCTTAAAAGTGAATAGTGTGCTTCTTTTTTCCTAATCAAAATATATTTCTGAAGAGTATCTTTGGAAAATTTGATGGCATTTGCTTGTGGTTTTCAGTTTGTGGTCTTTGATAATATTGGAAGACTTGGTAGATGATGACTCTTCAGACAATCGGTGATCCTAAAAGCTCTTTTGTGTTTTATTTTTCAAAATGTGAACATTTCATTTCCTTTTCCAATTATACCATCAGCATAAAAATTACTTCCATACAGCAATAAAAAGGGTCATAGTGATAAGTTACTTCAACATGGATGACCCTCAAAAATAGGTCAGAAAGGCCAAATACCAAAAACCACATAATCCTTTTCTATTTATTGAATTTCTGGAAAACTAAATTTATAAAGACCATAGTTGAGTACAGGACAAATGTCTGTAAAGGAGCATGGTTTTAGGGTGGAATTTAATGTAGGATAAAACAACAGTGCTTTTGCCAAGGGGTAAAAAACCCACTATACCAAAAGTGAAATTGACCCCCAAATTTCACTCCACACACAAACTCCCTTTATATAGATTGCTGTGCATTTTATCAAACCATATATGCACAAACCCTCTTTTCCCTAGTGGCTTGTATACACATTTGAATACATGCGTACCTTTAAAAAGATTGTTGCAGTAAAACCTTAAAAATTTCACCATTTAACCATTGTTTTTCTTTTTTCTTTCTTTCTTTTTTTTTTTTTTTTTT